TGCTGGGGTCACATCTCCATGACTTTTGTTTGTTTGTTTGTTTTTAACATGGATTCTGAAGATCAAGCCCCTATCCTCATACTTTCACAGCAAGCTCTTGACTGACTGGATAGTCTCCCAGCCCCTTATAAAGGAAAAACACTCTAAGTGGTAGAGAGATGGCTCAGGGATTAAGAGTACTGGCTGCTCTTCCAGAGTCTGCAGATTTGATTCCTTTAGGGTGGTCTAGCTCGTAACAATCTACATCCTCTTGGCCCCCACAGGCACTGCCTGGACATGGTGTACAGATATACATGAAAACAAAACACCAATATACATAAAAATAAATAATTCTTTTTTAAAAAGAATAAAGTATTTTATATGAAATTATATGTAATTAGGTTGGGTATAACCCACATACACCTTATAGGGTTTTCTTGTGCTTTATTTTCTTTTTTGTTTTTTTGAGATGGGGTTTCTCTGTAGCTTTGGATCCTGTCCTGGAACTAGCTCTTGTAGACCAGGCTGGCCTCAAACTCACAGAAATCTTCCTGCCTCTGCCTCCCGAGTGCTGAGATTACAGGCATGTGCCACCACCACCCTGCCTCTTGTGCTTTATTTTCAAATAATTGAATTTTCTTAGAAAGTTAATTTTATTTTTTGTGTTTATTTATTTTTAATGTTTAAATGATTTTTCATTTAATGTATAGAAAGATGATGTATTTTAAAGAAAAATTAAAAAAGACTAAAAAGTAAACGGTGGCACATGACTTTAATCCCAGCGCTTGGGAGGCAAAGGCAGGCAGAACTAGACTTTGAGGCCAGCCCAGTCTACAAAGCAAGTTCCAGAACAGCCAAGGCTACACAGAGAAGCCCTGTCTCAAAAAAAAAAGAAAAAGAAAAGAAAAGAAAGAAAGAAAGAAGAAAGTAAGAAAAGAAATAGAAAGAAGAAAGGAAGTAAAAAGAAAAAAATGATACTAATTTAATATTTATGTTTACTGTTAATTCTTCTGGGTTTTTATATTAATGAGGACTTATTTAAATTTTGAGAGCCTGTATTCTTGAGTCTTGAGTATCTACTTTGAGATAGAATTTGAGAGTCACCAAGAGAGTACTAAAGAGCAGCTCCCCCTTGAGAACGGGGAATGTTCTATTGTTTCCCTGAGTGTCTCTCCTGTCACCTGTGTATGTAACTTAGGTATCAGCATCATATACTAAACTGTGACTCTCTCCTTTGTGAAGGCCGTGCCCCCAAATCTGGAGTTCCTGTATTCTCTTCCTGAACTTTCTCTTTGAACCCCTTCTCCAACTCTGCTTCATACAGGTTCATCCTGAAATTCTTCTCTCATTGAAGCCATGAGCCTGTGATTGACTGAGTCAAGGGCTCTAGATAAGGGGCCCCTCAGGCTACCCTGGGTGGCTGCTCGGAGCTGTGCAGTGCCCCCATCTCTGCAGTGACACTCTGTGATTCTAGCCACCTGATATGTCTTTTGTCATCTGTAGTTTTGGTCTCTCAACCTTTCCCCACTTTCCCCCTCAAAAAAAAAAAAAAAAGACAGAATTTACAACTGAGCTAGTGAAAATACCTCCAAAGAGCACTGACTTTTCAAGAAAATACATTTACCAATACACGTTTGCTTTGCTGGTTATGTTGAACATTTTTCCTGTAGTGCTTCAGTGATCCCTATTGACATAGGCAGAGGTAAAGCTTCCAACAGCCTGGCACGCAGTGCTCAGACGCTAAACACCATCCACAGGACAGACAGAATTGACTGAGTAGCACCCTCCAGGTGGGAGCTGTGGTTGTCCATTCCATTGTCGGCCTCATGGAAATCATCAGGAAGAAGAGTTGAGCACGCCTGTGGGGATTGTCTTGGTTAGGTTTGCTGAGGTGGTTAACTGTCCACTGTGGGTGATCCATTCTCTGGGCTGGGATTCTAAGATGTATAAAAAGAAAAAATTAGGCTGAACACACCCATCCATCAGCCTATGCTGTTTTAATTTTATATCACATTTTATTATTTAATTTCATTGAATGAGAGCATGCGTGTGCATGTGTGTTCAGATGACACGGTACCTTGTAGACATCAGAAGACAGCTTACAGGAATCAAGCCTCTCCTTCCTCATGTGAGACGCGAGGACTAAACTCAGGATCAGGCTTGGTGACAAGCTGGTTTACCCTGAGTCTTCTGGCTGGCCCAGTCTGTGCTGCTTGACTGTGGATTTGATGTGACCAGTTCCCTCTAGCTGCTGCCACCTTGGCTTCTTGACAGACTGTGGTCTGAAACTGTGAGCCAAACTCCCTACTTAAGTCGAGATGCCAGAGTATTTTAGCAGAGCAGAGAAAACTAACACACTAGTGTGAAGATCCCGTCCTTAGGGGCCTCTAGTTCCTTAACTGTGGCAAAGAGAAAACACCATTGGTACCAGCAGGGTCACTCTGTGAGTAAGAAGCACACTAGATGCACCCACTCTGACCACTTGATTCAATCCCAGAACCCAGGTACAGCTGGAAAGAGCTCTGTGTCCATAAAGCTGTACCATGACTGCCACACCTAGGCTGTAACTTGTGCATTCCTGCATAAACAGACTGGTGGAAACACAACATTTTTAAAGTGCCTTTGGCTCTATCTTGCTATCTGCCCAGCGGCTAACACGTGATCAGACCACCTGAAAAAGCTCTGTCCAGGTCAAAAGAGGCCAACAAACCACGGCGAACCACAAGATGGTTGGTTGGTCAGTATGTCTTTAAGGAAAATGGGTTCCAAGTTCAAAGAAAGGAAGTGGTCCCTGCCCAAATGGAGTCCCTGGTGCTTCCCTTCCAGCAGTAATGAAGCGCAGGAAGTCAAAAGGCTCAGTGCAGGGCAGCTGGCAGGAGAGGAGGCCTCTTCACTCTGTGTCCTGCTAGGATTCTGCTACTGCTCCAGGGCACAGTCACAGCCCTGAGCTATCACACCCAGTGCCCAGGGTCACAGCTCAGTCCTAGTACTGACCCACGGCAGGGGGCAGGGAGCTGTGAAACTGGTGTGGGGTGTGGTGTCAGATTGGGGTCTGCATATTTTAGATTCAATTAGAAGTTTTTCTGAATTACTCGTTACAAAAGAGAATAGCATCAACTTTTTGAATTTGAGGGTATTCTGGGGTCCACAGTTAAATCAATGCATAGTCCCTGTCTCAATCAAAAAGAGAGCCTGGTATGTGGGATCCAGCCTGGCCAGGCTCTGCCCTCCAAAGAGCATAGAGGCCTCAGGCCCCACCTGTACCTGCAGAGCAGCCCCCCTCCCCCTTAGGAACTTCTAAGTCCAGAAGGAGAGGAATTCAGAGAGAACAGCCAATCAGGCAAAGTTAGACTGGAGGGTCACTGAGCTGAGGGACACTTGCCTGAGTTCCAGCAACTCTCAGCAGAGGTGACATGCTGGTGTAAGACTTTAAGACAATCCTAAAGCCATTTTTGACAATTCTGAATCCTCTCAGCCTCTGTGCCATAGTGCTTCCCCCCTCCTCCCCTGGGAACCAAGGATCTAACAGCTACACTTGCACGTACTCAGTTCCTGAACAATTACCCATATACGTATGTTTTGGTTCGGTCCCCTGGGAAACGGGGTCAAAATGACCTCTTACCTCATCTGATCTGGCAACAGCTCTCCAGTCAATTATTGGTAATAGCCCTTTCGAATAAGCCAATCAGAATAGTCAAAGAACAACCCCCCTTGCTTCTGTGGCCCCTTTAAAAGTAGACTGTACCAGCTATTCGAGGTCTCTCAGCTTCCCGAATGCTGGGGGACCCTGTCATGACAGAATTAATAAAATCCTCATGCTTTTGCATCGGCTGTGGTGTGTGAGGTGGTCTCTGGGGGCGACTCCTCCTTGGTGTTTGGACGCTAGAATCCAACACTGGACAGCCAGCACCTTGGGATTTGCACTTAGAGGCCATACTGATCACCTGGGGTTGGGGCATCTTCTCCCACACTCTGGATACCATGTACCTATTGGACAGTGAAACCCTAAACCCTTGTCCTTGGAAGAAACAGTGGCAGAGCCCTGGGGTGGGGAACTGGGCTGAGGGAGGCTGTGGCTGCTTCTGTGTTTTCTGAGGGTACATGATGGAGGAGCTACCCACCCTAGCTCCACCCTGTCACTGAGCTAGGTTTCTCAAGCAGGGGTCTTTCTCCTGGACTAGGAGCCTGGTGGTAACAGTCACACTGCCCAAAGCCCTGATGACCCCTCACAGCCCTCTTCCCAGGGGCTTCTCAGCCACTCCTGACAGGGTCCAGCCTGACAGCCAGTGGCTCACCAGGTGGGGCTCTAGGACCTCACATGGCTCTCCAGGAAAGTCAGATGCCATGCTCCTTGGGCACCAGCCCATCAGTGTTGCTGAACTTTTTCCCATGTCTCTGCTGCCAGCAGGGCTCTTCAAGCCCACCCAAGGCCCCTCACAGACAGGCTGAGCCAGAGGACAGCTAAAGGGCTTTATTTGGTGTCAGGTGGGGGAGGGGAGGCCAAGGTGTGGAGGAGGAGCAGTGGGGAGTTTGGTCCAGGAGAGGGATATCCCAGTCAGGTTTGGGCAGCAAGGCTTGCTCAGCAGGTGCAGACCTGGGTAGCTGCTGTGACAGAAAAAAGAGAGATAAGTCCCCCATTCTGCAGGAGCAACAGTCACGGGAGTCATGGACAGAGGTGGCCTAGGGCACGTATGGGACAGAGATCTTCTTTCCCAACATTTCTGTGCAGTCCCTGCTAGAAAATGGGGTCCTCTGAAGAGATCCCTCACTACTCCCATGAACAGCCAGGTGTCTGACTCCCTGGAGAAAATGGGAAGAACAGGGCAAGGCAGGGACCAGGAACTAGGAGAGGTCAAGACAAACAGGAAGGACTTCCTAGTTGTCTGGAAACTACACTCAGGACCACCTCCCTGGTGACAGGACCTGTCTGTATGGATAGGATGAGGACCAGGGCTTCCTGAGCCCCACATTCTAGGCTTTTCCACATTCCTACAGGTGGGGCGGGGTGGGGGAGACTTACCCTAGTCGCTTTCAGGCACACAGTGCTCTGTAGAAACCAAAAGAAGCCCAGGGGTGAGAAGGGCCCTGTACAGCGCTCTGTCACATCTGTGGCTCAGACCCCCCCCCTCAGCCAAGACCTGAGGCAGGGCCTGGCAACCCTGGGAGAGGTGACAGGACCTTGAAGGTACAGTGCAGAAACCAGGGATACAGAGAGAGCAAGGGAGAGAGTGGACAGAAGCACAGGAGACTTGGAGGTGCATGGGGACCCCAAGAGACAGAAACTCAGAATGTGACATTGTGACCCTGAGGAAATGCTGGAGATACCACAGAGACACAGGGGACAGGGACAGACATGAAACAACACGAAAGGGACAATAAGACCCCGCACAGAGAGGACGCAGAAGCACAGAGACAGACATGGTTGGGGCCTCATAGTATGGTAGCCATGACACAGGGGACACAGAGAGAGGCATGGACAGTCCTGTTCTCACCTTTTAACTCTGGTACAAGGATGTTTTCCTCTCTGAGTCCCTTAAGCTGTACAAATTTCTTAAATTCTTCCATGGCCTCTGGGTTTTCCTCAGGGTTTCTCCCTGTGGGGAGGTAGGGCAGGCTTAAGGGGTGGGGCTCAGCTCTGCAGAGAGCCAGAGACACAGGGATGGGAGCATTAACCTCCACAAAGGTGGAGAGACAACCCTGGCGGTTAACAATGAACTTGGTGTGGACACCCAGACAGAGGGACCCTCTGGCCCTAGGGAGAACCTCTGTAGACTTACAGGTCACTCCACAGACCTGTAAGAGCTTGGACTCTCAGGGGCATGAGGCTGTCCCCTGACCCCGGAGTATTGCTACCGACGATAAAGGCTTCTGACAAGACATTCCTTTGACCTGACATTTGACTGAGAATCCTGGAAGTGGCATTTGCTGGCTCCAGGGGTGGAGACCATTCCTGAGTGCTCAGGTCTCCAAAGGCCACAAAAGCCCAAGGCCTGCCAAGTTTTAGCCACTTTTCTCTTTGGATCTCACACATTTCCTGGGCAGTACCCTGGGCACAGCACCAAGAGGCTTCCCTGTCCCCAGGCCAGGCATGGCTGCTGGAAGCAGAGACCAGACACAGGACTTAGGGCCTCCGTGGAACCTCACCCATGAGCTTTCCCATGCGAAAGAACTTCCCATCGTGATGGCCTTCACAGTAGAAGATATAGTGGTCCTTCACTGGCAGCGCTGTGATATACATGGACCTCTTGCCATTTACTGCAGGTGAACAGAAATAGCTCTTAGTATCTTATCCTTGAGGCACCATTGCAGACTATGTAAGGGAACACCTTGGAACACTTCGGTGGTCGTCCAGGAGACTTGTCTAGTCTAGCCCTGGCCTTTCCATCGTCTCCATAGTTAGACAGGAGCCATTTCTTGGAAGCTGTCAAGCCCAGGTAAGATGTTCAGAGAAGGAGGCTGAGGTTACACCAGGCCTGAGCATACTTCTCCCTGCCTGGCTTTCCACTCTTTAGCATGGTTTTCTCATGGGTCAAGATCTGAGATCCAGACAGGGGACCAAGATCCAGTCAGTTGCTAGGGTTGACTACATAACTACCTCTATATATGGTATGTAGAAAGTGAGTGGCTGGCCTGTCCTATAAGCTGGACCAGGCAAGGACCCATCTATCCAAGAGCTGCTGCTGCAGGATACCCTAAGACACAGGGACTCACAGAAGGTGAATTTGCCAGGCTCATCAGTTTTCTTCATCAGGATTTTTAGGGCATGGCACTGACCGCTCAACCTGTATACACAAGTCCACAGTCAGGCTGCTCTCATCAGCATGGCGGAGCCATTCAGGCCTTTTGGTGAATCAGCCCTGGTCAGGTGATCCTCTGAATCCATGTTCCTGCTTTAGGAAACTGCTTGGGACTGTGTCCCCTCAAAGGCAGGGATCACTTAGTTTCCCAAACTCAAAACATGGATAGCAAGGGAGACACACACGAATATAGAGGTGCAGAGTTGGGGACACGTACCATAATATAAGGTTGACCTCCATATCTCCACCTTCCAGGGATGTCATCTTCACAGGAAAAAACTTTGAGGGTATCCTGTGACTGGGTAGGCTGCCATTGTATATTGTAGCCTTTGAATACCAGGTCCCAGAGTACTGCAGGAGACAAAGCTTTGCACATGCCCAATCGTGGCCCTGATCCTATCCCAGGCTCCAGCATATGGGCTAGCACCTGAGTAGACACTCAGAGCCCAGGCTGCAGCCACTGAGAAGGACTAACCTGTATTCCAGGACCTTTGGTCAGAAAACAGATATCAGCGCTTTAGATACCCAACCCCATGATGGTAGAAAGTGTGTGCTCCCATCAAGGTATCTAAACTCTTGAGGCCTACACCTCAGCACTGGATGAATGTCCTTGTCTACGAGGCCTTCTAGCTCTAGGTATCATGTGTACAAGGAACCCTCACCAAAATGTGCTTTCTGTTCTAAACCCCTAATCAGGAGAATACCCATCTTCTGTTAGAATAGTGGAAGCGCAGTTCTGACTGCTCAGTGCAAGGTCAAGTTCAACCTTCAAGGAAACTTGTTGCCCCTCAGCTCAAATCTACCAGCACCAAGCAGAAGGCCATGCCTTTCTCCTACCCCTCCCCATTGGCGTTCCCCTCCTCACATCCTCGTGGTCATCTGATGGAACTTCCTGGGCCTTCAGGACAGCCACCAGCCCCAGAAGCATGAAGGTCAAGAGCAGGCTCTTCATCTTCAATCGCTAGCTGGGCTCTCACACAAGGCAGGTCACCTGGGGAAGGTCTGCTCTGGCTGCTCACACGGTGCCCTTTATATCCCCTGTGGCCAGGGATGTGTGCCCACTTGGCACTGACCACGTCCCTCCTGTCCTTCTCTCATGGCCAAATCCACATTCATCATGGAGGTGGAAGGTTGTTGTTGTTGGGATCTGATGACAATGAACTCAATGTCACCCACAGACAAAGAAAGACAAACAATGCCCTGCAAAGTCTGTGCCATCAAGCCTTGTGCTCACAAAGGACCCTGGGAAGACGAGTGACTCAGGGGCAGGGAGGGAGGGCCAGGCTTCCCTTCACAGCCCTGCCCTCTTTCTGCCATGGCTGCCCTGAGCTATGTCCACTGAGATCTGGATTCTGACCTCCTGTGCAGAGAATGGGGCTGAGATACACCACCAGAGACTGTTGCTAGTCCCCAGACGGCCTGACCGCTGCCCGGGAGGGAGCCCACTTCATTGTCCTTTTTGTGCATGGATATCCCAGCTGGACCTTCCTGTAAGTGGGGACACAGACTCCTGACTCTTGTCAGTTTGAACATCATCAGGGCAGACCCCCTGCCACACTAGGCCACACCATGACCCTGACCCAGCTGTGCGCTCTGCAGGGCACTTCTTACTCTCAGATGTCCTGGTCCTTTTCACTGCCGGGCCAATGCCATCTCCTCAACCAGCAGGTAGGGCTCCATTTCCATAGTTCACACAATTTTAAGTTGACTGCATGAAGAATTCCAACCACACAAGAATATTTGTCCCCTGAAGGGACATGTGGGTGGGGTTCACCTCTATGAGCTCATGGGGATTCATTTCCAACAAGGGGCCCTGGCCTTCTGCTGTTCTTGTCATCTGAGCACCTGCTGAGAGGACATTTCAGAGCCAGGGCTGCCCTGGTGCAACTGATGTCCATGTGTGTTCATTTCTTGCCATCTTGTGCCCTGAGGTAAGATGAAGAACCAGCGTCCATCACAGCCTGACCTGAGCCCACCCCTGTGCTCCTATTGAACTTCGTTCCTCTGGAGTCCAAAGCTTCCCTCCTTGTTAGCTCTGAGCACCCACAGGCTCTCAACATGGCCAGAACACACTCTTTTTTTTTTCGGTAAATGATGCAAAAAGGACCATGACCTTATGTGTCAAACTGTGTTCTGAATTCATGGTGTCTGCCTGGCTCCAGGCCTTAGCCCAGCTTCCTTCCCAGTAGGAACCGTGCCTTCCACTCCTTACGCTGCAGTTCCTGAACTTGGCCACCTGCCCTGAAACCTAGAAGGTCAGGTCTGGAGAAGGATTTCATTTCCTGTGTGGCTGTTTACATTCCATGACTCTGGAGACGGGAGCTGGTCCCACAATGGCATCTCTGTGCCTGTCTGGACCAAAGGTGGACGGGCTCAAGTATCCACAAACAATCTTAATGAGCACCCTCTGACTCGCCCTGTCTTGTGCTGAAGAGCTGGCATGGCCCTTGTCTTGACTTCACTATAGAAAGTATTGGTCAGGAGACCTGACTTTCTGGGTGGAGTGGGGAGGGCTTTTAGGACCCGAGATTAGAAAACAGGCTATCATTTCCCAATCAAGGGTGCAGGGTCTCTGAACCTGCCAGCTTGTCTTTATTAGCGTATTTGATTCATTCCTCTGAGCACCTCACCACACAGGCACCCGCGTCTGATTCCCTGAGTCAAAGGAGAACAATGTGCCCATGATTGACAGAGCCAGGGACGCTGTCATTCTGCTGGAGGTCATTGGAACTTGCCAGGTGGCTCTCATTATCCATTTCTCTCACCTGAGTCTTAGCTCCTGGTTTGTCTCAAGGTTTCCAGTTATGTTCCTTGGGATGACTAAACTAAGGTGGCAGCTCATAGCTGCTATTGCATTGTGGAATGGACTCTATTTGAAACCTGAAGTGTCAGTGCTGGCGTGGCTCCAGCTGAAAGTGCTGATGGGTGACCCTTACTGTCCCCTGCCACTGCGGTTGACATTTCTTAACACCAGAGAGACTAGCAGCTTCCCAGTCTAGTGACTGCACCTCCCTTTTATGTTCTCTGACCCCCAGCCTTGAAGGGCAGGTGTGAGGGTGATAACCACACAGTCATGGGTGGGTCTGAAGCTTCCCCCACAGGTTCTTGTGTGGAAGGCTTAGTCTCAGCTGACAGCCCTTTTTGAAGAGACTGAAAACCGAGGCCAGGGTTGGTAGAAATTAGTCATGGAGAACACCTTGTCCTCCTCTCTGCTTCCTTGACTGCACAGTTAAGCTGTTCCACTTAACTGTCTCTACCATGATTCTTTGATTCACCAAACAACCTTGGCAGAACCTCTGACACCAGGAGCCAAAATGACTCCTTCTTCTTTAAGTTGTCCTCTCCTGTGTTTAAGGTGATGATGAACACCTGGCTGATACATTGTCAGCATGGATGGAAACTGAGAGGATAGTGGGGCTGGGCTCCCCCCACCCCGAGATAACATGAAATGTCCCACCTGTGTCTCATAGGGTCCTCAGGAGAGCCAAGTCCTAGTTGCTCCCAATGCTAACTTTCTCATTAAAATGAGAATATATGACCTTAAAATATCACCAGATGGCAGGCTTCTGGCCTCCAGAACCGATCAAGAATATATTTGTAGTTTCTGGTTTTGTTCTGTTAGCAGTGCTGGGACCTACCCCAGGCCTGGCACAGGTTTTGGTGCACCTTACCACCAAATTCCATCCTATGTCCACATTTCTGGATTTTAAATCATTTAGTTTGCAGTACTGTGCTATAACTGCCCTTAAAATCAATCCTAACTGATCAATAGTTACATTAAATGCAAATGATCAAAATCTATCAAACACAACACAGGACTAGTCTGAAACCGTATGATGGCTATTGTTGTCTACAAGGGATCTACGTTAAAAGTGATGATAGAGGTGAACTGGGTGTAAAAATATAGAGCTGCAGTAGGTCAACTTTAATATAACAAGATGTAACATCAACTAATGTAAAACCTAGAACAAAGCAAAATTAATGGGATAATGAGGGGCAGCGTACAAGGACAGGTGTGCCATTCCTCGGGGAGGAGCTACTATCCCAAAGGTTAACAGAGCAGTCAACAGGGCAGAGTAATAAAACTTGGAAGCAGGGAGAGAAATGGAGAGAAAGAAATTGAGAAAGAAATGGAGAGAGAGAGAGACAGAGAGAGAGAGAGAGAGAGAGAGAGAGAGAGAGAGATCTCCACATTTAGGGTTGGAGATAACTCCCCCACACACTCCACCAATAACTGAAAACAAGCAGGGACACCGAAGGCCTCAGCCTCGCTCTCAGCCCGCAGCTGTGAACTCTCCTCGCCAATGCGGCACTACCACGTCCTTTTATACATCACATAGCATGCAACAACAGTGTGCAACTTGTCCTAGTGGTGTATGACCTGGACACACAGCAAGGGACTTAAAGTGTGGGGGAAGTGTCCTCCAAGGTCATGGACACATACCTGACCTCATCACCAGAGGGAGGTGGGGTATGTTCCTCGAGGGACTTCACAATGCTACAACTCAACTCAGCAGTTCATGGACCAAAGAGGAAACCTGCAGGGAATGCAACATTGAACTGAGTGAAAATGAGAAGATGTGGGTCTGTAGCTAAGCTATTTGGTAAACTGAGGCAGTAGGATGGTGAGTTCGTGACCTGCTTATGTTACTGAACAAGTTCAAGGCCATATAGGGCAAATTAGCAAGACCCTATCAAGATTGCGAAAATGAGGTGTTGTAGGGATGGGTCAGTGGTTAAGAGTACTGACTTCTCTCTCTCTCTCTCTCTCTCTCTCTCTCTCTCTCTCTCTCTCTCTCTCCCTCTCCATTTTTTTTTCCAGGGTTCTAGTCTCAACAGTCCCAGTATGACTCACAGGACACTGTAGCTCCAGTTCCAAGGGATTCAATGTCCTCTTCTGTCTTCCACAGAGACTAAGTAAGCACTCAATATACAGGCATACACACAGGCAAAACACCTATACTCATAAAAATAAATAAATAGATATTTAAAATGAAAATTTAAAAAATAAAAAAGTATTGGAGAATGTCTCTCAGTTAGGGTTTCCATTGCTGTGAAAAGACATCATGACCACAGCAACTTTTGTAAAGGAAAACATCTAGTTGCAGCTTGCTTGCAGGTTTAGGGGTTTAGCCCATCGTCAGCATGGTGGGCAGCATGGTGGGCATGCAAGCAGATACTGCACTGGAGAGGTAGCTGAGAGTTCTACCTCCAGATCTGCATGAAGCAGGAAGAGAAAGAGCCACCGGGTTCTGAGGTTGGGCTAAAGTCAAAGCCTGCATTCCAGTGACAAGCTTCTTCCAACAAAGTCAAATCTACTCCAAGAAGGCAACACCTCCTAATCCTTATTAAGTAGTGCCTCTCCTTATGAACCTGTGGGGGCCATTTTCATTCAAACTACCACATTCTGCTCCATGGCCTCCATAGGCTTAGATCTACAGTATAAAACAAAATTCAATGAGTTCAATTTCAATAGTCCCTGTAGTCTATCACAGCCTCAACACTGTTAAACACTCACAGTTCAAACTCTGATGCTCATGGCAATCTCTTAACTATAAGCCCCATAAAATCAGAATGAAAAAGCAGATTACATCCTTACAACATACAATGACACAGGATATGCATTCCCATTTCGAAGCGGGGAAAGTGAGGAAACACTGAGCCAACGCAAAATTGAAAATCAGGCATTGAACACCATACCCACCCTTAGTATTTTCAAATTCTTCTATAGTGCTTAAAATTTTAAATTTTACAAGGTTTTTCTTTTTGTTTTTAGGCTTAAATCAAGCTTATTAATTTTTTAGATGTAAAAGTTTATGTTGACGAGTGTTTTGCCTACGTGTATGCATGTGTACGTGTGCACCACCTGTGTTTCTGGTTCCCCTGAGGTCAGAAGAAGGCATCAGATCCCTTGGAACTGGAGTTAACGATGATTGTAAGCCAGTGTGTGGGTACCGGGAACTGAATCCAGGTCCTCTGCAAGAGCAGCAAGTGTTCTTAACTTCAGCATCCCACAAGGTAATATTTGAGGAAATTATGAAAGGGTTTGATTTTGAAATATACCTCAAAATACTAAAAAAATTGAGAAGATCTGTATAGATTCTCCACCCACAGGACCCACCCAAGCTAAATCAAGAGGAAATGCACTACTTTAATAGATCTATAATGGGCAACAGTGTTAAAGCAACTGATAATCTCCCAACACAGAGAGCCCAGGAGAGGGTGGAGTCACTGCTAAATTCTCCCAAAGACTTAAAAAGAATCAGCACCAGTGCTCTTCAGACTATGCCATAAGAGAAGGACTCTGCCACCTTCATTCTATAAACCAAGATCATTTGATATTAAAAGAATATAAGAAGAAAATTATAGATTAAGTTCTCTGTTGACCACAGATGCCAAAACTCTCAGTAAAATTCTTGCAAACTGAACTCAGCAACATTGAATGGTCAGGCAGCATGACCAAGCTGGTTTCTTTCTAGGAAAGCAAGAGAATGCACAAATTAGGAATTGCAGCCCAACCCAAACTCTATATAGATGTCATCTTATCATTGCAGTAGGTGATGGGAAACTTTCAACAAAGCCAACACTGTTCTAATCAGGGAAGAACTGAAGTATTCTTATTCAATACAGTGCGTGAAGTCTTAGCCATAGCAATAAGTAGGCAAAGAAATGGAGTCTATAAATAAGAGAGGAGCAAGTTCAGCTGTCCTTATACGCACATTACTTTACTATTTTATTAAATTAAACAGAAAACTCTTAGATCTCATTTTAGAAACTTTAAGCAAAATAGGAGAATATAAAATCAACTTGAAAATTTATTAGCTTTTCTGCATTGAATAATGATAATAAGCAAGCTGTGAGACCCTGAAAATGTCCAAATCATATCAGCCAAAAAACAGAAAGAAAAAAAGGAAGAGGAGGAGGAAGGGGAGGAGAAGAAATATTCAATTTCTACAAGAACAATAATGCATGAAAGAAACTGGATAATGCAATAGCAGAAAGAACACTATGTACAAGGATTGGGGGAATCAGTATTATGAAAATGACCATATTGCCAACAGCAGGCTTCAGCTCCAAAACAAATTTCTGTCAAAAGTCTAATGTCACTGTAGGAGGAAGGCTGCTTGTTGGTCCCAACCACCCTGAACTGAAATAATCACACAGAAATTGTATTAATTAAATCACTGCTCGGCACATTAGCTCTAACTTCGTATTGGCTAACTCTTACATCTTAATTTAACCCATTTCTATTCATCTGTGTATTATCACAAGGTTGTGGCCTACCAGCAAAGTTCCAGCATGTTTTTCTCTGGCTCTTTTTCCCAGCTTTTCGTTTAGTTTTCCCGGCCTAGCTCTGTTCTCCTATAGCTCTGCTATAGGCCCATAGCAGTTCCTTTATTAACCAATGAAAGCAACACATTGATAGGAAGACCTCCTATACCATGTCACAGAAACAGATAATTAATCCTAAAACTCATTTGTGAGCACAAAAAGCCCTGAATAGCCAGAGTCATCCTGGGCAGAAACAGCAATGCTGGGGGTGTTGTAGCACCTGGTTTTAAACTATACTACAGAGCTGCAGTAACAAAAACAGCATGGTATAGCACAGAAACAGGCACACCAGTCAGTGTGGTAGAATACAGGACACAGACTCAAACACACATAGCTGCGGCCACCTGACTTTAGACAAAAGTGCTCAGAGCACACAGTGGGGAAGGGGCAGACATCTATTCGTCAGCTGTGCTGGGGACACTGATGCCCACACACAGGAGATGAAGCTAGACCTCGGCTATTGCCCTGTGCAAACACAATCTGAATGGGACATAGACCTTAATGCATGACCTGAAACTGCTGGAGGGGAAAACAGAAAACACTTCAAGATACAGGCAGACAAAAGGACTTTCTGGGTAGGACTGAAATTGCACAGGAAATAATCCCAAGAGAAAAGAAACATGTGAAATTAAAATATTCTTTTTGCACAGCCAAGGAAATAATCAACAGAGTTAAGAGATGGTCACTGAAGGGGAGGAATCTTTCCAGCTATACAAGCAACAAGGGAATGACCTACAGACTACGTAAGATACTTAAAGCATTTATCACCAAACAAATCATCCATGAATGAGTCATGAATTGAAAAACGAGTTCACAAAATGGTAGAATAAATCATCAGCAATACGTGAAGTAGTGTTTTACCTTGTTTGCCATTAAGGAAATGCAAATAAAAACAACAGTGAGGTTCGTTCCCTCACTCAGTTCAGAATGGCAGCCGTCAAGAAGACAAGTGCCCAAAAATTCTGGGGTGTTGCAAGGAAAATGAACCTAACACATTGTTTATGGGAAAGAAACTAGAGAAGCCACTATGAAAACTAGTTTGGAGGCTCCTCAGAAAACTAAAAATAGAACCAGAAAATGATCCAGCTACGGCAAGCACCCCCGAGTTTATACCCAAAAGATTCTCGTCATTTTAGCGCAGGGAAACCTGCACATGTGTGTTGATTGCCATGTGCTCACACAGCCGAGATGCAGAATCAGCCTAGATACCCACAGACGGCTGAAATGAGCAGATACAGAAAACGCCATGCGTGAACAGTGGAGTTTTGTTTAGTCATAAAGCAAAAGGCAGTTTTTGGGGAAAGAGAGGCAGGAAGAATGAGGCAGGAGGGCTGATGTGGATAGGGCTTTGTTCTGGAGAGAGAGCAATGCTTCAGGGCTAGACAAAGATTATCTGAGCATGGTGTTGCGTGCCTTTATCCCCGGGTCCCAGAGGCAAAGGCAGAGATAGATTCAGGTCGATCTCTATAATTTTAAGGCCAGAAGTCAACCTCAGGTTTCCTTCCTCAGGATGCCGGACCACCTTGTTATTTTTGAGACAAGGTCTCTTCTCTGACTTGGCACTCAGCGGTTAAGCTAGCTGGCCAATGAGTCCCTCCCCAGTGCTGGGAATACAAGTACCCCTCTAGGCCTTGAGATTTTATAAGAGACACATACATACATATGCATAAAATTTTATGTAGACACACACACAACTAAAAATCATATTTTATGTGCACTGTTAACTTTTCAGGTCTTTAAGAGGATCATAGATAATTTAAATTGTTGTTTTGGGCTAGATTTATTATTATTATTATTTCTTTCAGTTTTTGAGATTATACTATAAGTACATCATATCCCTCCTCCCTCCAAACACTTTCAATATAGTCTTGCTTGCTCTTTTTCAAATTCACAGCATTTTTTTCATTAAGTGTATATATATGATCCTTCCTCTCTTTTGCTGCAAACTACCTTTTGCTTGATTATTGAACACAACTCTACTGCTCAAACATGGCATTTTCTTTATCTCTTCATCTCATCTGTCTGTAAGTATACACACATGTAATATGTATAATATATATAATATAGGAAGGTGTATTATATAGGTACATGGGTACAACCTGTTCAGACTACATACTGTTTATTGTATGTATGTTTTCAGGGCTGATCATGTGGTATTATATAACCAGTTGGTGTACTCTTCCCTGGAGACTATTTCTCCTGTTCCCAGCATCCCCTCGTTCCTGTAGTTCTTGAGATCTCTTCTGTTCTCCAACCACCTTAGCTTCTCTATTGCTGTTGTCCTTCAACTCACGGTCAGGCCGCCATGCTGATGAGACTTTATGGGGAAGCTTCTGATACCTCTAGGAGACACAATCTCATAACAGACTCCCTGACTGGCTCATAATTTTGGAGCTGGAATCTTTAATATCTATTTTGAGACATAATTTGAGAGCTATCAAGACAGGATTGACAGCTAAACTAAAGAGCAGCTCTCCCTCGAGAAATGGGAATGTTCTATTCTTTCCCTGAGTGTCTCTGTCTCTTTACCCGTGTTTATAACGAAGGTTTCAGGTTCCCCTACTAAACTGTGACTCTCTCCTTTGAGATGGCCACGTCCCCAAATCTGGAGTTCCTGTATACTCTTCTTGAACTTTCTCTTTGAACGCGTCAGCAACTCGGCTTCATACAGGTTCATCCAGAAATTCTTCTCTGCATTGAGGCCAAAACCTGTGTTTGACCGGAGTTAGGGACTCCAGATAGGGGAAGCCCTCAGACTGCCCTGGGTGGCAGCTCAGAGCTTTGCAGAACCCACATGTCTGCCACGATTCTCTGTGTGATTCTAGCCTCCTGGTATGTCTTTTGTCATCTGTAGAACCTAAACTCTTGTACTTGGAAAAACGGTGGGAGAGGCCTGGGTGGGAAACTGGGCTGGTGGGGGCTGTGGCTGCTTCTGTGTTTCCTGAGGGAAATGATGGAGGAGCTACCCAACCTAGCTCTACCCTGTCACTGAGCTAGGCTTCTCAAGGAGAGGTCTTCACGGCAGCCCAACAAGTCCTCCTGGACTAGGAGCCCAGCAGTGACAGTCACACTTCCCAAAACCCTGATGACCCTTCACAGCCCTGCTTTTTTCCAGGGGCTTCTCAGCCACTCCAGACAGGGTCCAGCCTGACAGCCAGTGGCTCACCAGGTGGGGCTCTAGGACCTCACATGGCTCTCCAGGAAAGTCAGATGCCATGCTCCTTGGGTACCAGCCCATCAGTGTTGCTGAACTTTTTCCCATGTCTCTGCTGCCAGCAGGGCTCTTCAAGCCCACCCAAGGCCCCTCACAGACAGGCTGAGCCAGAGGACTGCTAAAGGGCTTTATTTGGTGTCAGGTGGGGGAGGGGATGTCAAGGTATGGGGGAGGAGCAGTGGAGAGTTTGGTCCAAGAGAGGTGTGGTACAGGGATGTCCAAGTAAGGTTTGGGCAACAAGGCTTGCTCAGCAGGTGCAGACCTGGGTAGCTGCTGTGACAGAGAAAAGAGAGATAAGTCCCCCATTCTGCAGGAGCAACAGTCAGGGGAGTCATGGACAGAGGCTGCCTAGGGCACATATGGGACAGAGATCTTCTTTCCCAACATTTCTGTGCAGTCCCTGCTAGGAAATGGGGTCCTCTGAAGAGATCCCTCACTACTCCCATGAACAGCCAGAGTTCTGCCTTTCTGGAGAGAATGGGAAGAACAGGGCAAGGCAGAGACCAGGGTCTAAGAGATATCAAGACAAACAGAAAGGACTTCTTAGCTGTCTGGAAACAACAATCAGGGCCACCTCCCTGGTGACAGCACCTGTCTGTGTGGATAGGATGAGGACCAGGGCTTCCTGAGCCCCACATTCTAGGCTTCTCCACATTCCTACAGGTGGGGTGGGATGGGGGGAGACTTACCCTAGTCGCTTTCAGGCACACAGTGCTCTGTAGAAACCAAAAGAAGCCCAGGGGTGAGAAGGGCCCTGTAGAGGACCCCATCACATCTGAGGCTCTGACCCTCCCCCGGGCAAAACCTGAGGCAGGGCCTGGCAACCCTGGGAGAGGTGACAGGACCTTGAAGGTACAGTGCAGAAACCAGGGATACAGAGAGAGCAAGGGAGAGAGTGGACAGAGCACAGGAGACTTGGAGGTTCATGGAGACACCAAGGGACAGAGGCTCAGATTGTGACATTGTGATTTTGAGTTATGCATGACCCTGACAAAATGTTGGAGATACCACCGAGATACAGGGCACAGGGACAGACATGAAACAACACATAAGGGACAATAAAATCAGGCACAGAGAGGACGCAGAAGCACAGACAGACATGGTTGGGGGCCTCATAGTATGGTAGCCGTGACACAGGGGACACAGAGAGAGGCATGGACAGTCCTGTTCTCACCTTTTAACTCTGGTACAAGGATGTTTTCCTCTCTGAGTCCCTTAAGCTGTACAAATTTCTTAAATTCTTCCATGGCCTCTGGGTTTTCCTCAGGGTTTCTCCCTGTGGGGAGGTGGGGCAGGCTTAAGGGGTGGGGCTCAGCTCTGCAGAGAGCCAGAGACAGGGATGGGAGCATTAACCTGCACAAAGGTTGAGAGAGGAACCTGGCGGTTAACAACGAAATGGGTGTGGACAGCCAGACATGAGGGACCTTGTGGCCCTAGGGAGAACCTCTGCAGATTTACAGGACACTCCACAGACGTGTAAGAGCCCTGAATCTCAGGGACATGAGATTGTCCCCTGACCCTGTAGGATCCCTACCCTCCATAAAGGCCTCTGTCAAGACAATCCCTTTGACCTGACCCTTGACTGAGATTCCCTGGAAGTGGCATTTGCTGGTTCTGGGGGTGGAGACCGTTCCTGAGTGCTCAGGTCTCCAAAGGCCACAAAAGCCCCATGCCAACCCAGTTTTAGCCACTTTTCTCTTTGGATCTCACACATTTCCTGGGCAGTACCCTGGGCACAGCACCAACAGCTTCCCAGCCCCCAGTGCCAGGCATGGCTGCTGGAAGCAGAGACCAGACACATGACTTAGGGCCTCCGTGGAGCCTCACCTGATGGAAGAGGGTCATCTGTCTATCTGTTGCTTTCATTGGTTAATTAATAAAGAAACTGCTTGGCCTGATAGGTCAGAACATAGGTGGGTGGAGTAGACAGAACAGAATGCTGGGAAGAAGGGAAGTGGGGCAGCCGCTATTGAGCCTGCTGCCATGTCAGACATGCTGAATCTTTTTCGGTTAGCCACCTCTCATGGTGCTACACACATTAATAGAAATGGGTTAATCAAGATGTGAGAATTTGCCAGTAAGAGGCTAGAGCTAATGGGCCAAGCAGTGTTTAAAAGAATACAATTTGTGTGTTGTTATTTCAGGTGTAAAGCTAGCCCTGGGGGAGCTGGGCAGGACACAAAGCAGACCTGCTCACCTCTTTGCTACACTCACCCATAAGCTTTCCCATGCTGTACGACTTCCCGTGGTGATGGCCTTCACAGTAGAAGATATAGTGGTCCTTCACCGGCAGCTCAGTGATATAAAGGAAATTCTTGCCGTGAACTGCAGATGAACAGAAATAGCTCTTAGTGTCTTATCCTTGAGGCATCACTGCAGACCATGTGAGGGAACACCTTGGAACACTTCAGTCGTCACCCAGGAGACCTGTCTAGTCTAGCCGTGGCCTTTCCATCCTCTCCATAGTTAGACGGGACTCATTTCTTGGAAGCTGTCAAGCCCAGCTAAGATGTTCAGAGAAGGGGCTAAGGTTGTACCAGGCCTGAGCATCCATCTCCCTGCCTGGCTTTCCACTATTTAGCATGGTTTTCTCATGGGTCAAGATCTGAGATCCAGGCAGGGGACCAGACCAAGAGCCAGTCAGATGCTAGAGTTGACTACACAATGACCTCTATATCTGGTATGTGGAAAGTGAGTGGATGGTCAGTTGTACAAACTGGACCAGGCAAGGACCCATCTATCCAAGGGCTACCACTGCAGGACACCTTAAGACACAGGGACTCACAGGTGGTGAATTTGCCAGGCTCATCAGTTTTCTTCATCAGGACTTTAATGTCATGACACTGACCATTCTTCCTGTAAACACAAGTCCACAGTCAGGCTGCTCTCACCAGCAGAGCAGAGCCTCTCAGCTCTTTTGGTGATTCACCCCCTGGTCAGGTGATCTCCTAAATTCCATGTTCCTGCATTAGGAAACTGCTTGGGACTGTGTCCCTCAAAGGTGGAGATTTTTAGTTTCCCAAACTCAACACATGGGTAGCAAGGAAGAGACTAGACCACTACAGATGCACATAGTTGGGGACACGTACCATAATATAACGTTGGCCTCCATGTCTCCTGTTTCCAGGGCTGTTACCTTCACAGGGAAAACCTTCAAGGGTATCTTGTTACAGGGTAGGCTGCCGTTGTGTATCATGGCCTTTGGATACCAGGTCCCAGAGTACTGCAGGAGACAAAGCTTTGCACATGCCCAGTCGTGGCCCTGATCCTATCCCAGGCTCCAGTATATGGGCTAGCACCTGAGTAGACACTCAGAGCCCAGACTGCAGCCACTGAGAAGGACTAACCCTGTATCCAGGATTTTTGGTCAGAAAACAGATACCAGCGATTTAGATACCCAACCCCATGATGGTAGAAACTGTGTCCTCCCCGTCCAGGTATCTACACTCTTGAGGCCTACACCGCAGCACTGGCTGATGCTCTTGTCTACGAGGCCTTCTAGCTCTGGGTATCATGTGAACAAGGACCCCCTCACCAAAATCTGATTTCTGTTCTAAATCCCTATCTTCAGGAGGCTGCCCATCTTCTGTTAGAATAGTGGAATCCCGGTTCTGACTGCTCAGTGCAAGGTCAAATTCAACCTTCAAGAAAGCATGTTGCTTCTCAGCTCAAATCTACCAGCACCAAGCAGAAGGCCATGCCTTTACCCCACCCCTCCCCATTGACATTCCCCTCCTCACATCCTCCTGGTCATCTGATGGAACTTCCTGGGCCTTCAGGATAGCCACCAGCCCCAGAAGCATGAAGGTCAAGAGCAGGCTCTTCATCTTTAGTCGCTAGCTGGGCTCTCACACAAGGCAGGTCACCTGGGGAAGGTCTGCTCTGGCTGCTCACTCGGTGCCCTTTATATCCCCCGTGGCCAGGGATGTGTGCCCACTTGGCACTGACCACGTCCCTCCCGTCCTTCTCTCATGGCCAAATCCACATCCATCATGGAGGTGGAAGGTTGTTGTTGTTGGGATCTGATGACAATGAACTCAATGTCACCCACAGACGAAGAAAGACACACAATGCCCTGCAATGTCTGAGTCACCAAGACTTGTGCTCACAAAGGACTCTGGGAAGACGAGTGACTCAGGGGCAGGGAGGGAGGGCCAGGCTTCCCTTCACAGCCCTGTCCTCCTTCTGCCATGGCTGCCCTGAGCTATGTCCACTGAGATCTGGATTCTGACCTCCTGTGCAGTGAATGGGGCTGTGCTACACCACCAGAGACTGTTGCTAGTCCCCAGACGGCCTGACCGCTGCCCGGGAGGGAGCCCACTTCATTGTCCTTTTCGTGCATGGATACCCCAGCTGGACCTTCCTGTAAGTGGGGACACAGACTCCTGACTCTTGTCAGTTTGAACATCATCAGGGCAGACCCCCTGCCACACTAGGCCACACCATGACCCTGACCCAGCTGTGGGCCCTGCAGGGCGCTTCTTACTCTCAGATACCCAGGTCTTTTTCCACTGCCCAGTCAATGCTCCTCAACCAGAGGTAGGGCTTCACGTCTATAGTTCACATGATTTTAAGTTGGCTGCATAAAGAATTCCAGCCACACATGAATATTTGTCCCCTGAAGGGACAGGTGAGGGAGGTTGGCCTCTGAGAGCTCAGGGGAATTCATCTCCATCAAGGGGACTTGGCCTTCTGTCGTTCTTGTCATCTGAGGACCTGCTGAGAGGACATTTCAGAACCTAATCTGCCCTGGTGCAATTGAGGTCCATGTGTGTTCATTTCTTGCCATATTGTGCCCTGAGGTGGGATGAAGAACCAGCGTCCATCACAGCCTGACCTGAGCCCACCCCTGTGCTCCTATTGAACTTCATTCTTCTGGAGTTCACAGCTTCCCTCCTCATTATCTATGGGTTCCCACAGGCTCTCTACATTCTTTTTGGGTAAATGATGCAAAAAGGAGTACGACCCCATGTGCCAACCTGTGTTCTGAATTCATGATGTCTGCCTGGCTCCAGGCCTTAGCCCAGCTTCCTTCCCAGTAGGAACTGTGCCTTCCACTCCCTATTCTGCAGTTCCTGAACTTGGCCACCTGCCCTGAAACCTAGAAGGTCAGGTCTGGGGAAGGATTTCATTTCCTGTGTGGCTGTCTACACTCCATGGCTCTGGAGATGGGTGCTGGTCCCACAATGGTATCGCTGTGCCTGTCTGGACCAAAGGTGGACGGGCTCAAGTATCCACAAACAATCTTAATGAGCACGCTCTGACCGCCCTGGCTTATGCTGAGGAGCTGGCAGGGCCTAATAGAAGGTGTTGATCAGGAGGCCTGACTTTCTGGGTGTGAGCGGGCGGAGCTGGTGCTCTTTAGGACCACAGATTAGAAAACAGGCTATCATTTCAATATCATGGGGAAAGTGCCAGCCTGTCCTTTATTCATTCCTCTGAGCACCTCACCACACAGGCACCCGTGTCTGATTCCCTGAACCTGTGGAGAACAACGTGCCCGTGTGATTGACTGAGCCAGGGTCACTGTCAGTCTGCTGCTGACTTAGTCTGTGACTGGAAATGCTGAAGGCCCAACCCCACAGCCCCCCAGAAGCTATGGTACACATAACAGCCTCACAGCTTCCCAATCTATTTTGCCTGCATCTACTTCCATGTTTTCCTAACACACATACTTGAAGAGCAGAGGTGAAATAAACTACCACGCTGTCATGTTTGGACCCGAAGCGTCCTTTCCAGTCCCATGTGGTGAAGACCTTTCCAGTCCCATGTGGTGAAGACTTATTTCTGGCTAGGGGCTCTATTTGTGGGCATTCTGCAGACTAAAGATAGACATGAGTCACTGAGAATTGTCCTTCCCCTAAATCTTGGCCTGGCTTATTCTTAACAGATTCAGAAAGACAAATTTTGCTTGTTTTCTTTCATTTGCAGAATGCACAAGTAAATATGTACACAAATCCACGTGTGTCTGGCGTGGAAGCACAAGGGGGGCCTTGTGCGGGACGGTCTAGTCTGACGGAAGTACAAGGGAAGAGAACAGATGGAAAGACAAACATCACTGCCTTTCTCGTGGAGAATATGTATTTATCTCATTCGGGCACTTGTTGAGGTCGACTTCAGAGCTCTGTCTTCTGTTGATCCCACGGAGCTCTGAACACATCAGGCCAATCAGGGCATTTAGTCCCACCAGCCTCTGCGGGCCCCAAATAGCTTTCTATGAAGATGCAGACCTGCCAGAAAAGACAAGCTTCCTGCTTGCTAGGAAGCACATGAGCCTTTCTCTGTTCGCTCTCCTCTTTCCTGATTATTCCCATCCCTGACCCAGGCAGACACCCTAGGCTGCAGCCACACCTTTTCCCCACCAAGTGTGAGCCAGGCCTTGTGGAAGGGATCCCCCCGAAACCACATCCTGCAGCCTCTAGCTACTCTTTAGAGCTGTCTGTACATTTGTATTGTTGATTGTTCATTACGTAAACCATTCCTGTTCTACCTATTGTGCCATTCTTTCTCCTGATTGAGCTGATTCATGTAATTATAAATTATCTGAAAGGTCATAAATGTTACGGGGAAAATCAAACGGAACAAGTTATACAGAGAGTGTTGATACAGGGGACGGGGGAGGGCGTTACTTTAAGTTGAATTGTCTGAGCCAACCTCACCAAGCTGACGTTTGAACTACAGTAAAGGAAACAGTTCAGGAACAACATGGAAGGAACACGGGGTGCAGACCTGGGGGAGAGAGCTGGGCTGGTTCCAAAAGCAGACTGGAGGGCAGGGCATCTATAGCAGGTGATACCTGAGAAGATTGACCTGAGACCAGGCACCAAGAGAGCAGGACCAGCAAGGGTGGCTACGGGTCACTGTAAGGGCATTGGCTTTCTCTCAGACAGACCTGGAGGGTTTCGACACAGACAATCTGTGGCACATGCTTAGCATCCTTCCAGGTGTTATATTAAGACTAGACTGGAGGTAGCAAGTGTAGCATCAGGGAAAATAGCTGGAAATGCAACGATCCAGGCAAAATGATGGAGTGATGTTGCCTACCTGGACAGAAGGGAACACAAGGCATGGACGTATACACCCACCACAAAGAAAGAACAACTGGGTAAGAATCTGCAAAATCTTTTTTTTTATTTTTATTTTTAATTTATTTATTTATTAAGGATTTCTGCCTCCTCCCGCAACCGCTTCCCATTTCCCTCCCCCTCCCCCATCAAGTCCCCCTCCCTCATCTGCTCAAAGCAAAATCAGGGTTCCCTGACCTGTGGGAAGCCCAAGGACCGCCCACTTTTTTGTATACATTGGGCCACAAACAGTGAAGGCTTTGAGTCCTTGGCCTGATTTTCAATCCGAGGCCAGCCTTTGCCCCAGCATCTCTGAGCCTGCGGGGGATTTGAGCACCAAAGAGAACGTACCCAACAGGTCAAGGTGTCTGACTGAGTGGAGGAAGAGACAGTAGTGGAACCTGGGGACAGGAGCAATGACCGCCACGTGTGAGACTCACTCATGCAGGAAGAGCCCCGGAACTATGCCAAGGGTTCTGTGAACAGCCAAGAAAGTGCCAGACAACAGGGAAGAGGGGACAGCTCCTCACGTCGGGGAGGACAACCTCTAGTAGGAAATAATTCTAAGAACTATCAGGAGAACATTGAGCAACATGAGAACAGATTCCTGAAGGGGTCAAGACAATTCGAGAGGGAAAGGACAGCTTCAATATGTCCCTGAGACAGTTGACATCCACCCAGACTTCACACCACCGAATCGATTCACTGGAAATGGTCCCTGGCCTGATTGTGGGTGCTAAAACCAAAGCTTACACAGAAAGCACAAACCTCTGACCACGGCTCTGACAATACAGAAAACCAAAGGAGTGAGAGGCAGATTGGACTTCATCACTGTGCAGTGTGCAAAGCTGGTAGTCCTCAAGGGACTCTGTGAAGGAGCTGGAGAGATGACTCAGTAGCTCAGAGACTCGCTTCTCTTACAGAGAACCCCAGTTAGGCTCCCAGCTCCACCAGATGCCTCACACCCACCTATAGCGCCTGCTTGGGAAAATCGGACATGCTCTTCCGGCCTCCTAGGGCAACCGCACTTATACGTTCTTATCCACTCACACAGATGCACGCATACATACAAATAAATACTTTAAAGACTCTGTGAATGAAATTAAATGACAGACTATAGACTGTGACAAATATTCACAAATTACACATCTGGTGAGGATCTAATGTCAGTAACATGTAAGACAGTGGTAACTCATGGATAAACCTGATTAGACTTTCTCCAGAGGAGATATAAAATGACCAATGAGAACACATCAGCAATTAGGGGAACGTAAATCAGCATTACACGCGCATAGCTATTTCCTCCCAGACTAAGACTCTCTCTCATGTACAGGAAGGTTAAGACTCCTGGTGTTGCCGGGCGGTGGTGGCGCACGCCTTTAATCCCAGCACTCGGGAGGCAGAGGTAGGCGGATCTCTGTGAGTTCGAGACCAGCCTGGTCTACAAGAGCTAGTTCCAGGACAGGCTCCAAAACCACAGAGAAACCCTGTCTCGAAAAACCAAAAAAAAAAAAAGACTCCTGGTGTTAAAGGGGAAGTGAAACAGGGATGAGATGAAGCTTTCCATCCTGTAGGGAGCTCCGCTCCATAAGATCAGGAAATAAACAACTTAAAGAGTTCAGGAAATCCCTGAAACTGACCAGACGCATTAGTCTCCTCCTTCCCAGAGCATATGTATGGACTGATGAAAGACGAAAGACACCCACTGCCAACCTGGGCTGTCTGGACGAAGCTCAGGTCAACTGACCTGCCTAAAAGAACACTCTCCAGTCCATTGAGTTGTCTGCAAGTTATGCAGTGTGCTCTAGGTTCTCCGCTTTTTTTCTCCCCATGAGACAGTGTTTCTCTGTAGCTTTGGTGCCTGT